TCATCAAAATCCAATGAGTGGTTCTTTAGATATCAGAGGAACAGTCATAGAACAGCTAAAAATTAGCTAATTATCATGCAAATTAGGTAATTAACGAGCATGGATTTTTACCAAAACCTAATCAAATCTGCGCATTGGCCCAGAGCATCTATGCACTAAGTTTCATCAAAAACCGATGTATGGTTCTTGAGATAGCAGTGGAACAGTCGGACACACATACACACATACACACACACATACACACATACACACACACATACACACATACAGACACACTAACTGCAAAGACTCCCATTTTGTGCTTCGCACATGGGAGTCAAAAAGGAAAAAAACTGGTTTTGTTTTATTTCTCCATATGACAAACAATATGTTAATTTATGCTAATTATTATGCAAATTAGCCCCGACTTTATGAAAAATTTCTGGGGAGAACACTGTATTATAAGTAATGCACAGCATCTTGAAATCTTGAAGGCTCTACATGTGTCACATGACCACGTTTACTAAAAAAGGATGGTAGTTCAACTACATCCATCCAGCAATCTCACCAACATCTACTTTTTGGACGTGAACAGTAAAAATGTATAAGAGTTGACCTGAAGTATTGTGTAGGTGATAACAATAACATTAGGATAAATGGTCTAGGGAACACAAAATTATACTTACAGTTGGAACATATTCAGAAGGAAATTTATTTGTAGTATATGATATTAGCAGACATGTTTTACCCACAGCACCATCTCCTACCACCACACACTTTATCGTCTGCATAGTACAATAAGGAACTTATCTCTAGTCCACAAAACACAAGTCAAATAAAATGAAACCAGTTTAGTATATTGACCTGAAAAAAAACATAGTTAATATTGAAATTATAAACACTACTAGAATTCAACGTGGATGTGAAACCTTTAAATTACTCAACAGGTTCACAGTATAATAACTACTGCACTTCAGTCACTGGAATCTTGTAACATTGAAGTGTAAACTAGACTAAATATGGGTGGGGTGTATATACCAAAATAACTACATTCTGATTCTTTTTACGATTACCTTATTCATTAAATGTCATGAGTCATGTATATAAATAAAACAACCACACTATATAAACACAGGTTCAGTCAGGTTATTTTAAAATGTGTTACACAATAGCTACAGTGATTGTTAAGTTTCAATTTTTGTATACATTAGTAGTATATTAACTGTTTTGGTCACAACAGTCAAAACATTCCATCAGCTGAACAGGTAACAATGGGAGTGTGGGAAGTCATCAAAATTGTGGCAGGCACTATAAAATCTGCATGGGTTGTTTTTTAAACGTGAAGTACGTCTACATACACACTTTTAAATAGTACCAGTATTAGAGAAATCTAGACATACGTCGTCCAACGCCCCGAACAGGAAGTACATTTTATTATCCGGAGCGCCATCTTATATATTCAAAACAAAACTATCCTGAATAATCTAACTGCGGGTTCTGTAATAGACACATAATTTTTAATCGCTAATCTGATATATCTACTACAAATATAGTGATACGAAGTTGGGTTATCCCGAAATCTTCTATAAAATGCGGTGCAAGTAATTGCTTCCCGCCGGCAACAAATTTGTCGATAAATCTCAGTCAAGACTCCTTCAATGTTTGTCCTGGCGTCCATTTTTGAAATTGAAACTAACACACAAATATTCAGATATGTACAGTATCAGTTTAGTATTTGTTGAAATATCAATTAGGCTAAATATGGAATACTACTTTAAAATTATCTAAAACGTTAAGCGGAAGTACGGTAGAGCCAAATTCATGAACTAAATAAAACAGTGGGACGCTTCCGCCTAGCGTCACAAGACAGATTCTTCCAAAATTAACCTCCCGTGACTTAATGGCGGTATCAAAAGTAGCGCGATTGGAAAACATCGAATTTCTTTACCTTAGCAGCTCAAGATCCTGCACAGCGGTTGACAGATAAAAGTACGGGAAACTGTTGATTAGTGTTTTCTTTTCTATAATCTCATCCAAGGCAGTCCGCCATGACACTCGACCGTTTCAATAATTGGGCGTTGGCATTTGGACGGGTTCCACAGCCTCATAATCATGGACATGAGCGATTACTCTATAGGTCACACGCGGGTCACGCTATATATACAACCTCCACCATTATTGTCGCTTGCACGAAAACGTGCATCTCAATATTCACAGAAAAATATATTTAATATAAACATTAGCAGTAATATCGTCTACAACGAATTGAATACTATAAGTGACATATAATCACTCCATGTTACAATCGACTGTTACGTGTTAGTGCAAAAATCGTTAAACAATTTAATTTTTTTCTGAAAACTGTGCATTACTTTTTAATCATTAAAAGATGAGATGCATTTTATGATTAAAATAACTTTCTTGTTAGAGGTCCCACACCAATTCTATTAAGATGTGAATATTTTTCTTCACACTCGGCCCGAGAACACGCAGGTTTTTAATAACGTCTGAAAATAGTATATGGCAATTCAGCAGGCACTGAGAAGACTATTATACAAATAAGCAAATATCTCTATTTATTTATGGGAACAGAAATAGTTGTTTTGAAATTTTGAAATTCCCGTTATGTTGTGTTTTTGGATAAAACAATATAAATGAACGTAAAATATACACAAGGATGTGACACATCAAAACGACGGCCAGTACAGGAAAAACTTCGATAATCACAGCTAAAATAGAAATTCTGCTTACTTACCGCTAATTCATCAATTGAACGTACGTCAAAAATTAACTTAAATCCCGAAAATGTTGAAAATTCACTTGGCCGTCATTAGCCACGGACCTGTTTGTAAGTTAATATGTGTGATTTGTTAGTTAATATGTGTGGTTTGTAAGTTAAGATGTGTGATTTGTTAGTTAATATGTGTGGTTTGTAAGTTGATATGTGTGGTTTGTAAGTTAATATGTGTGGTTTGTAAGTTAATATGTGTGGTTTGTAAGTTAAGATATGTGGTTTGTAAGTTAAGGTGTGTGAATTTGTAAGTTAATATGTGTGGTTTGTAAGTTAATATGTGTGGTTTGTAAGTTAAGGTGTGTGGTTTGTAAGTTAAGGTGTGTGAATGTGTAAGTTAAGATGTGTGGTTTGTAAGTTAATTTGTGTGGTTTGTAAGTTAAGATGTGTGGTTTGTAAGTTAAGATGTGTGAATTTGTAAGTTAATATGTGTGGTTTGTAAGTTAATATGTGTG